GCGGCTTTCCATCATCGACCCATGACCCCTTGGACGCACCCCTTGGCGTCCCGGCAAGCCTCCCAACGCCTAGCGCCATGGTCGGCCCCGTGGTCTCGGCAGCGCCAAGTGACAAGCGCGCATGCGCCTCTGTCGCCCCACCGATAATCAGTGCCAGCGGCTGGCGAATGCCATCAGTGCCGGGCGCACAAACCATCATGTTGCCAACAGCGCCGCATGCACAGACAGTGCCCCGCGTGCAGATTCAATGCCAAGCACCAGCGTCAAGCCGCTGGCATATCCAAATAGTGTCGCGCGCGCCAACAACAATGAGCGCGCAGACCCTGATGCTCAAGACAAAGTTGCTGCCATCGGACTTGCTTCCACCTTGTAGAAGACTAAGTCCTTTTCATTGTAATTATAGAGTAGTTTTACTTCATTCATTTTCAGTGTGCTTCTACAGCTTTCTTAGGTCAACTCATGTAACTTTGGTTTATTTTTTGTAAGCATTATTAAGGGGGACCAAAGCATTCAAACAATTCTCTGTACTGGTGTCTCTCCCCCTCCCTCCCCCGACACCGCATAGCATCTTGTAATAGCTTCCATCATCATCAATACAATCATCAGCTTTCATCATCAATTGCTCATTTTCCGCTACTCAATTGCTCACGATATTGGTTTTCCCGTACGGCACTGACAATCTAGTCTAGCGTACGGAGGGGACCTCAGTTGGCGCATAGCAACCGCACTGACATCGGTTGTTTAGCCTTACATCGCCCTTCCAAGGAATTTCAGGAAGGCGCCGCATAACAATACACATGAAAAAATATCAAAAGCAAGCTGCAGTAGGGACTACCTTTACCTGCAAAACAGCTATTGATATATAGAAAATATAATATTATTTTGCATGTTATGGAATCAATTAGGATACCCAGATTACTGTTACTAAGCCTTCTCTCAGTGTGAGTGGCCACATGATATACCAATATCATAGCATCTCTTGATTTTATACTTACCTCTAAGAGCATTGCATAATAGTTGTTGATCATAGACAACTTTCTAGGTCAGCAATTGTAACCCCATTTTCCTCGCCAGTAACTTGCCATATAGTTTCTACTCGAGTGTTGTAGTTCCACACTTCAATAGTCACTGGATTGCATCTAAGATTGGTGAGGGCATTACTTACTAAAGATAGCAGACACAGTCTATCACTTTTAGTTAACTCAATTAAGTTGTGGCTCATCCTTGTAGTAATCCCAACTAATCTTCCCATAGAAGAGGCAACACAACAATCGGAAGTTCCCGTCTTGATTTTTGACATTGTATACTATCAACAGAGGACAATTGATCATTTCATGACTCAATTTACATCACCAAAGCACCTGTCAAGTTGCTGAATAAGAGATCAGTACGCTGTAGAACAGCTGTAAAAAGGTAAAAGTAATTAAAAACAGTTAATCTAAGCAACACCCTCGGTGCATCAGTTTGCAAATTGGATATCATTACCCATACATGTGAAATCCAATAGGAAACTATCCAAAGATTCAAAGAAACTATTATTACCCATAATGCCGGTTCAATATCATGTCAAGCAATATATATACATATGAGGTCTTGCATCTAAGCCAGTGGCGGAGCTACATGCACCCAAGGGGTGTCAACCGATACTCCTTCGTCGGAAAATTATACTGTTTAGTTCGGTAATGTTTTTTAAAATATGTATATATATTATATAATGACACCAGTGGCGGAGCCACATACACCAAAGGGGTGTCCACCGATACCCCTTCGCCGGAAAATTACAATATATAGCTAGGTAATTTTTTTAAAAATATGTATATATACTATATAATGACACCCCTTGACTTCTTGATGAATTTATTTCTTTATGTTTTGACTCCCCTTAATTAAAATCCTGGCTCCGCCACTGAATGATACCCACTTCTTGATGAGTTTGTTTCTTTATATTTTGACTCCCTTAATAAAAATTCTGGCTTTGTCACTGATCAAGGCATCCACATTTTCTTTCAAAAATAAATATTATATCCATCATCAACCCCATAACCATCTCCTTCTATTTTTAATTAGTGTTTGAACAAGACTCTCCTCTCTCTGCATTTATCTACAACTGGAATCGGTTTTCACTGGATGGAGTTATACGTAGAATGCCCTTTTAGCACATTTCTCCTTTTTTTCGTGCCAAGGGCGGCCCAACCCTAAAGCAAGTGAAACATTTACTTTAGGCCCCAAATATTTAAGGCCCCCAAAATTATTAGTATTTTTCTATATATATTAGTATATTATTTATATAATTATCTTTTATTATTGATAAATTTATTTCTTTATTGTCATATTAATTTTTAATAACTCAATTTCTTCCTCTAATTAATATAACTAAAATAGTTCTCTATTCATTAGTTGGTCACGTAACTATATCTAATAATCTAACTTATTATTTATTTTCCTTACATAAATTATACTCTCTCCGTCCCAATTTATATGAAAGTGTTTGACTGGACATGTATTTTATGAAATAAAGGAAGGCTTTTAAAACTTGTAATCTTAAATAAATCATAGAAGTTTTTGGGCTAGAAATCATCTCATTAATGGTAAAAAGAAAAATCTAAAGTTGAATTGTTACCAAATATAGAAAGGGACTTACTAAAAAAAAGGAGTCACTTATGTTTTCTGGATTCTCCCATTTCAGTTGTGATGCAATCAACGTTAAATTCATTTAATTTTCTGTATTTTATAAAACTAAGTTCTCATTTTTTTTAATTCCACATCCTCACTTGTCTAATTTTTTTAAAAACGATGTATATATATATATATATATATATATATATATATATATATATATATATATATATATATTAAGGCCTCTTATTAAGATTTTGCTTTAGGCCTCCGATGAGGTTGGGCCGCCCCCATTTCCCGCTCATCTCATTGTTAGCCGATGGGATTGGCTTCCTACTAATTTGCTTTTTCCATTTACCTCACAGTAGTGCTAGATTTGTACTAAGTTGTAGTTTATATCCATCTAGAAAAAAAAAACTTGTTATATTTTACATTATAGAGTAATTCCTTTAACTTAACTTTTATTTGGTTTGTTATATTAAAATAAACAGAAAGTACAACAATTATGCTATCTACATAAGCAACAAGCTATATAAGCTTAGTTTGCTATTTGTTTGATCTTCCCCCTGAAAAATTCTTCTGGTCCTCTCCAATTAACATTCCACAAAATACATCAGAATTCCACAATATGCACGTCTAAATCAGGTACAAATACTGACATGCATGTAACAAAATATACCAAAAAGGGATCTAAAGAGTGGGAAAACTAACAAAAACACATCAAACTCCAATAATATTACAGAACTAAAGAAACAAAAGACCAAAACTCAGGAAAACTAACTGACACAGTAGAGGCCAAATAAAGATATTAACCCAGATGGAGAAATTCAGACTACAAGCTAAGAAGCGAGGGGGAGAAAGAGGAAGTAGCAAAATAGAGGAACGATGAAAGGAATGGAATGAACAAAGAGATATAATAATAATTTTAAGATATTAATGAACATAATTCCATGCTAATTAATTATAGTAGAACTTGATTGATAACCAATGTTGAATTTGACAAGATTAATGTGAACTAGTGTGAATATTTGAAGCCTCCTTTTAGGAAGAAATTGGTAGATGCATTTTTCATGCATTTACATTGCACGTTCGCACTTAATATGATGTCATGCATGACATTATTAAGGTCATTTCCCTTCTATAAATAGCAAGAATTTTGTTCATTTGAAAATATCTCTCACTTGCCTTCTTATCTCCTAAGGCATTTGAATCTTCTTTCTCTCTTGTAGTATTTCACTTGTATTTTTGGAGTAAAATAAAGTTTGAGTTGATTGTGTCCGAGGACTAGGCAAAAATTAAATTTTGCCGAACCTCGTTAATTACTGGTGTTCTTTTTATTATTATCTCATTTACTATTTATTAGCTACCTTTAGATATAGTAGTTATGATTTAACCACTCTCTATATATTCGGCTTCCGCAACAATTGGTATCAGAGCCAAGGTTCTATCTTAGTATGCCATGTGGTTGCAGCATAGTCTGAACTTCCACATCAGAAAAGAACTACTTTGGTGTTCTGTACTGTCAGCAAATAAATAGTATCTCTAGCAAAATGGGAGATAATAAAAATGAAGAGTCCACATCGGGTGTCAATAATACGTCGTTGGCATTTTCGCTTATGACAAGAATTATGTCAAATGCGAAATTTGCAGTTGAAATATTTGACGGGTCAGGACATTTCGGGATGTGGCAAGCTGAGGTTCTTGATGTCCTTTTTCAACAAGGGCTAGATATTGTCATAGAAGAAAATAGACCAGACAATATCGGAGAAGGAGATTGGAAGATTATCAACCGCAATATTTTTGGTACCATTCGATCTTACCTCGCAAGAGAACAGAAGTATCCATACACAAAATAAACTTCTGCAAGTAAATTGTGGAATGCATTGGAGAATAAATTCTTGAAGAAAAAAAGTAAAAATAAACTTTACATGAAAAAAAGACTGTTGCGCTTCACATATGTTCCTGGTACTACAATGAATGATCATATTACCAGCTTTAATAAGTTGGCGACAGATTTGCAGAATATGGACCTGACCTTTAATGATGGAGATATGGCCTTAATGTTATTAAATTCACTTCCCATTAGTACGAGCACCTCGAAACAACTCTACTTCATGGGAATGATGATATATCTCTCAAAAATATTTGTTCTGCCTTATACAGTTATGAACAAAGAAAGAGAGAAAAAGCAAAAGAGTGGAGAAGGAGAAGCACTGGTTGTGAGAGGTCGTTCTCAAAATCATATGAGAACGAAAAAAGGAAGATCCAAGTCAAGATCCAGACCTAGCAAAGATGAATGTGCCTTTTGCCGAGAAAAGAGGCACTAGAAGAAAAACTGACCAAAATTGAAAAGCAAGGCCAAACCTAACAATGGGAAGGCTGTCATGGATTCAAATGTAGCTGATTGTGACGACTCTAATTTTTCACTAGTTACAACTGTGCCATTCAAACCACCTGACATATGGCTGATGGATTCAGCTTGTAGCTATCATATTTGTCCCAACAGGGACTGGTTCATTGATATTCAAGAAGGGAAATGTGGAGTTATTCACACCGCGAATAACAATCCTCTTACCGCATATGGTATTGGTTCAATCCGATTAAGGAACCATGATGGATTGATCAGAACATTAACAGATGTTCCATACGTACCTAAATTGAAGAAAAATCTCATTTCTGTAGGAGACTTAGAGTCAATGGGGCTCAAAGTCGTAGCAAAAAATGGGATAATGAGAATATGCTCCTGTGCACTAGTGGTAATGAAGAGAATTCGGAAAAATAATAACATGTACCACTATCACGGCAGTACAGTTATTGGGACAGCAACAGTGACATCCAGTGATGACAAGGAGGCAGAAGCAACTAAGCTATGGCACATGCGCTTGGGACATGCTAGAGGAAAATTCTTAAAGATTTTATCATATTAAGGATTGTTAAAAGGAGTAAAGACTTGCAATTTGGAGTTTTGTGAGCATTGTGTCAAGGGAAAACAGACAAGGGTTAAATTTGGAACAGCAATCCATAATACTAAAAGTATTTTGGATTATGTTCACTCTGATGTTTGGGGTGCTTCCAAAGCACCTTCATTAGATGGGAAACACTATTTTGTAACCTTTATTGATAACTTTTCTCGGAGAGTGTGAGTGTATACTATGAAAACCAAAGATGAGGCGCTAGAAATTTTTCTCAAATGGAAGGCGATGATAGAGACTCAAACAGGCAGAAAGATAAAGTGTCGTCGCACAGATAACGGTGAAAAATACAAAAATGATCTTTACAATAAAATTTGTGAAAATGATAGCATTTTGAGACATTTCACCGTCAGAAATACACCACAACAGAATGGAGTGGCAGAACACATGAACCGAACTTTGCTGGACAAGGTTTGGTGTATGTTGTCCAATGCTGGCTTGGGCAAAGAATTTTGGGCTGAGGCAATAACATATGCATGCCACCTCATTAATCGTCTACCATCTTCTGCTATTGGAGGCAAGACACCATTTGAAAAATGGTATGAAAAACCTGCTGAAGATTATAATTTTTTGCATGTGTTTGGCTCAATTACATACTATCATGTGAAAGAGTCAAAATTGGATTTGAGGGCAAAGAAATCTATATTTATGGGGATTACTTCAGGAGTCAAAGGATACCGATTATGGTGTCCAGAGACAAGAAAAATTATATTCAGCATAGATGTTACCTTTGATAAATTTGCCGTAACAGATAAGGTGACAGTTGAAGATGTCAAACAAACTGATGTTGTTTCAAAGCAGGTGGAGTTTGAGGAAAAATTAATTTTCCCAACATATTGAGAAAACGAGGAAACAATAGAAGATTTTTCCCTGGAAGAAGAGTCAGTGGAAGGGAAGATTCCAACTCAGGAACCCCAATAACAACTTGAATCAATAGCAACCAACAAGCCAAAAAGAACAATAAAGAAATATGTTCGTCTCATAGAGACGGTGGCTTGTGCAACCTCAATTGTAGTNGCTGATGATATTCCTACCACTTATAAAGACGCAATCCAAAGTTCAGAAGAAGATAAGTGGAGGATTGCCATAAATGAAGAAATACAGTCCCTTCATCAGAATTGCACATGAAAATTGGCCAATCTCCCGAAGGGAAAGAAAGCAATTGGGTGCAAATGGGTATTTGCAAAGAAAGAAGGATTTCCTAACCAAGAAGATGTTCGGTACAAAGCAAGATTGGTGGCCAAAGGGTACGCTTAAAAGAAGGGAATTGATTACAATGAGGTATTTTCTCCAGTCGTGAAACACTCCTCCATTAGAATTTTATTGGCTTTGGTAGCATAGTTGAATTTGGAACTAGTTCAGTTAGATATAATGCATTTTTACATGGAGACTTGGAAGAGGAAATCTATATGACTTAGCCAGAAGGATTCAAAGTTGCTGAAAAGGAAAATATGGTGTACAAACTTGAAAAATCATTGTACGGATTGAAATAATCTTCTAGACAATGGTACAAATGATTTGACAAGTTTATGTTGCGGCAGAAGTACAGAAGAAACAAATACGATCATTGTGTGTATTTGCGCAAGCTTGAAGACAGATCCTTCATATATCTTATCCTATATATTGATGATATGTTGATAGCTTCCAAAAGTAAAGAGGAAATTGAGAAGTTGAAGATTTAACTAAGAAAGGAGTTTGAGATGAAGGATTTGGGTGAGGCGAAGAAAATTCTTGGCATGGAGATAAAAAGAGATAGACATTCAAAGAAACTTTATCTATCTCAGAAAGAATACTTGAAGAGAGTAATAGATCGATTTGGCATGAATGAGAACACGAAGTCGGTTAGCACTCATCTTGCTCCTCACTTTAAGCTTAGTGTTGCTATGTCGCCGAAGAATGAAGTTGAACGAGAGTATATGTCAAGAGTACCATATGCGAATGTCGTTGGTAGCTTGATGTATGCAATGGTTTGCACAAGACCTGATATTTCACATGCTATCGGAGTTGTAAGTAGATATATGCATGATCCAGGAAAGGAGCATTGGCAAGCTGTAAAATGGATTCTACGATATATTCGTAATACTGTAGATGTTGGATTGATTTTTGAGCAGGAAGATAGTCAGTATCTGGTTGGATATTGTGACTCGGATTATGCGGGTGATTTGGACAAGTGTAGATCAACTATTGGTCATGTCTTCACTTTTGCAAATGCACCAGTTAGTTGGAAGTCTACTTTGCAGTCAATGGTTGCTTTGTCTACTATTGAGGCAGAGTACATGGCAATTACGGAGGCTGTAAAGGAGGCAATTTGGCTTCAAAGGTTGCTTAGAGATCTTAGTATTGGTCAAGAAAGCATCACACTATTTTGTGATAGTCAGAGTGCTATCCAATTAGCAAAGAACCAAGTTTATCATGCAAGGACGAAGCACATTGATGTTCGATATCACTTTGTACGAGATATTATAGAAGAAGGTGGAGTCATGGTGCAGAAAATTCGGACTACAGACAACCCTACCGATATGCTAACAAAAGTAGTGACTGCGATCAAGTTTTAACATTATTTGAACTTGATCAACATTGTTGAACTTTGAAGATTGAAGTTGAAGACACAATTAAAATATATCATAAGAGAAAATTGAAAAAACGAGAATCTTACCAAGGTGGAGATTTGTTGAATTTGATAAGATTAATGTGAACTAGCGCGAACATTTGAAACCTCCTTTTAGGAAAAAATTGGTAGATGCATTTTTCATGCATTTACATTACATGTTCACACTTAATATGATATCATGCATGACATTATTAAGGTCATTTTCCTTCTATAAATAGCAAGGGTTTTGTTCATTTGAAAATATCTCTCACTTACCTTCTTATCTCCTAAGGCATTTGAATCTTCCTTCTCTTTTGTAGTATTTCACTTGTATTTTTGGAGTGAAATAAAGTTTGAGTTAATTGTGTCCGAGACTAGGCAAAAATCAAATTTTGCCGAACCTCGTTAATTTCTGGTGTTCTTTTTATTATTATCTCGTTTACTATTTATTAGCTATCTTTAAATATAGTAGTTGTGATTTAACTACTCTCTATATATTCGGCTTCCGCGACAACCAATTCACAATAAGAAACACATGGAACAGTCAACTTGTGAGAATACAGCAAGAGAAGAAAAAACCAATTGTCACTCACAGGAGATGGCAATAATGCTGGATCCCCAATCGCTTGATATCTTCTTATTGTCGACAAGAATAGAGGCACATAGCTTCACAAAATAACTACTATTACTATTTTTTTAGCCCCCACTATTGTTTTTGTAAGAAAGTTTGGAAAGAACCTGATGCAATTTGAGATTATTACAGATGAAAAAANATATATATATGCACTTCTATTAGACATCATTCCCATTTATCTTTTTGCTCATTCTTTTGCGTTTTTGTTATATTTTTTTATTTATCATGTTGTTCGTAATTTCATAGAGTCATTCGATCTGAATGCTATATGAAGAACATAAGTCAGATGACGTAACGGGAAGACTCATAGGATGAAGCCAATCAAAAAAAAGCATAAAAAAGAAAGAAAAATTCGATTTGGATAATAGCTTTTCTTATGACACAAGATTGTTCTGTTCCGGGACTGTAGTGAATAAAGAGGGTCAGCTCTTGTTAACCCGGTACAACAAAGTAATAGAAGAGAGTTAGTACTCATTTAATTGACCTCCTTTTCGAAGTCAATAAATTTCTTTCTTTTACTTTTATTTTGTTCAAGTTGCTTTAGTGAATAAAAATGCTCAATAAAGCAGGTAGGTCTTACTAGCCCTTACACTCGTCAAACTTATTTACTCATTCTCCACAGTATAACCCAGTCAGATGTCTCAGAAAGGGTAGTGATCTCCCCCTGAAAAGTATCACGACCATAAAGAGAAGAAAAGAGGGATTGCATGTTGATAACAGAAAATGGCAATCTGTTGATTAAATACACTGTAGTAGTGAATGCTTCAACCCATAGATGCTTTGGTACTCCTTATCTCATTCCATTTCAGTGGCTCAACCAGTAACCAATGGCGAAAACTAAAAAATCCATGGTTTCCCGGTAGAACCCTATTTCGCCCAAGTTGTTTCGGAACCGGAAAAAAGAAGCGATTTTTCGCACAGCTTGCTCATAGTGCAGGTCCCACTTGTATATCGTATTTGGCCGAAGAAGCATCGGACAGGTTGGAGTTCAGCGTGAAACTAAGAAAGAGAGATGTGCCTAAGGCGACATGTAAGTAAACTGTGCACGCTAAGAGAAGAGGAGAGATGTTTACAATTACTACCACAAGAAAGCCGCCCACCTCTTTCATGAAATTACATGTCCCGAAGTTGACTGTCGAAATCCATTGTGACTCTGGAGGTGATCCTCGGTACTTGAACTTGATTCTTTAAAGCCGGGAACAGCCATAAAAGAAAGGAAAAAATTAGTAAAGATGCCCTGCACGAAACTAACTCTTCTAAAACCTGAAATGGGGAAGGAGAAAGAAAGGAAGGACTAGCTATTCGATTGATTTACTTTTTATTACCCCGTCTGCTCTCTTGTTCATATATTGGTTTTTAGATTTGATTCCCCCGAACTGAAAGATCATTTCGAGATCTTCGAACATATTCGAGGGTTCGATGTTACTATTGTAACTTCGGCCAACACACAAGATGAGACTTTACCACCGTGGAGCGGCTTAGCTGAGAATGAAAATTAGCAAATTTAATATCTACGGCAGATTCTGTGCCCCAAATCATTTAGACCCCCTATGCATCCAACCGTTTCACTAATGTGAATAGGTTATACAGAAGGGTAGGTTGGTTATATACTCTTATGCGCCTTCCTTCTTTGAACCTTTTGGTATGTATTGCCTCATGCATCAAATGGTTGTCTCTCCTCTCTCAAAGCAGGCAAGCTTCAAGCTTGGAAGATCAAGAAAAACGAGAACG